GGGCGGGCGAAGGAAGGAGGGGCCGGCCGCCCCGCGCTGCGCGCACGAGCCACCCCCAGTACCGGGGATCCCTCCCGGCGATGCCTGAGGCTCCCCCAGGGAGGGGCTAGGGTGGTGGGCGGGGAGACCTCCCACCGCCCCGCGCAATCTCCGGGGGCCGGGGCAGGAGTCTGAAACCCGGAGTGGATCGCTTCTCCGGATCCGGGCTCCGTCGGGCCCGCCAGTCTGCGCACAGGTGGCCCGGGAGGGGGCCCGGGCTGCGGCGACCCCTGTTCGGCGCCAGCCTGCGAAGAGCAACCCAGGACAGCGGTGCCCAGGGCAGGTTCCGCTGCAGTCCGGTCCTCCCCCGCTCCCAGCCTCCCGGCCGCTCCCCGAGGCAGTATCCTAACAGCGGTATTCTGCCAGCCTGCGGCTTGGATAGTGGACTGCGTGGGAGCTCCGGGGCCCCGGCCCGTGCGCAGAGGTGCCCGGGCCCCCAGTGCGGGCAGGTCAGACTCCGGGCCACACGCAGTCCCAATCACGCAGCCTGGCGGGCTCCGGGGCCCTCCTCACAGCGTGACCCAAGGTTTCCCTAACGCCACAGAGCCGTTTGCAGAAGGAAAATAACCTTAGGTATTTGCGCCCACAGCGCGCACCGCGCCTGGGACGTGGGCGTGAAGGACAGAGCTGGGCTTTCGGAGCTAGAGAGACCTGGGGTAGGGTCTAGGCGACTCCGGCTTCTTAGCTCTGTGACCTTGGGCAAGTCACGTCGTCTCCCGGAGCCTCCAGCAATGACCGCTGCTGGAGTCTCCCGTTCCCCACCCCCATTCCCTAATCGGGTTAAAATAAACAGAGGGCTGCCTTGAAGGAGAAAGGAAATGACAAACGCTCACCGTGTGCATGGGGCGAGTGATCAGAAAAAGAGAAGGTTCTACGTCGGGTCGGGAGGGGAATGAGAAGCCTGAGGGCAGGGTCGCAAACTCAAACGCCCAAGGAGCCGATCGATAATATGAATTGGTGCTGCAGGCCAGGCGAGGTTAGAATGGTCTTCGCTTCCACAAAGACATATGAGCTCTCCTTTATTTCTTGAGACACGAGGCCCTCTCTCGGTCTGTCTTTTGTTTCCCACTTTTGATAGAGAAGGGTTATGAGAACTGTTTTGCTTTCCTCTTTACTATAAAAGAACATCGGCCCGAGCTCCAGATGCGCACCGACAGAGGCTGGGCTTCAGCACCAGGGAGGCAATGGACAGCGCCGGAGACAGGGCACAAGATCCCATCTAAAGGAGCAGCTGGCTCTTCAGCTCCAGGTACCAATTGTAGGGGAAGGGGACTGGGGCCCAGTGTGGCTGTATCTTCCAAATTTTCAAAAGAAGCCATTTAAGTCTCCTGATTTAAAAATTTTAACTTATAAAAAATAATTTTTTTAACCTTATGTGAGCCCAGATGAAAATATCCACCACCTTCTGGTTTTTGAACTCTGCTTTGGAGGTGTTTGTGTGCGCACTGTGTCGGAGGGCCTGGTCTACCCTGTCTGGAGTGTGTGTGTGTGTTCCCACACTGCTCCCTTTGATGCTATAATACCTTTCCTCACCCACCCCCCAGGAAAGAAGTGGGTGAGAGAGGTGAAACAGTGGCAGGATCTGCACTTGGGGCCCACAGTGTGGGGGATATGATTAGAAAATGGGGTTTGGAGGCAGGTGGTTGAGGACAGAGTGGGACTGGGGGCTGGGGTCTAAGATGGCATTATAGTGGTATGTGCTGGACACCACTATGTCCTTGCCTACATTTGTAACTTGGCTTGTTCTTCCTGTACGATCCTGTTAAATAAACGTTGTTATTATTCCCATGATACAGATGAGGTAACTGAGGCTTGGGGAGGGGAAGTCAGTTATTGTCCAGGGCCAACCTTATTTAATGGCTCCAGGGCTAGCTTAGATGGGTCCTTGGGAGGTTTGATTTCAATGTCCATGCTTACATTTTCTCCTCCTGAAGTTTCAGGTGTGGAATTAGAATTTGGGAACAAGGTTTGGGGTACAGGAGAGGAAAGGGTCTCTTCCTATGCTCATTTGGCTCCTCTGTTTACTTCTCTGCCCCTCTCTCTTCAGCCAGAATAGGATGGTCTGTATAAGTCAGGATAGATTAGGTTATGTTGTGGTAACAAACAGTCTCCCAATCTCAGTGGCTTAAATCCACACACAAAGGTTTATTTCTCATTTGTCCATCATGGATCTACTGTCCCAGGTCGTCCTCAGTAGGGGACCAAGGCTGAATGCAGCCACTTGCTGGAACACCATTGGTCCGTGAGGCAGAGGAAAAGGGAACTCTACATGCACACCCACCAGCAAGCAATGGCTCAGTGCAGAAATGACATGTGTCTCTTCCACCCATAATTCATTGGCCAGAACTGGCCCATGGCCCCACCCAAGGGCGCCAGGAAGTACGATCCTACCACGTGCCTGGAAGGCAGAGCTGAAGTATGTGGAGAGCAGCTTTAATAATGACCACAGACTACAGGCCCAGCATGATCTGGTCTCTACCTACCTCTGCAACTCTGCCTACGCCCCTGACCATAAGGGCCTCCTTTTTGCTTCTCCAGCATCCAAGCTCATCCCCACCACCAGGCTTTCCCATTGCTTATCTTTCTTCCTAGAACACTCTGTCCCCAGATCTTCACATGGCAGTTCATTTCAGTCACTCAGGCCTCAGCTCAGTGTCCCCTCAAGGTGGTACTCAGGGCCATGTCAGGAGAAGGAGGGATGCCCTTGCAGAGAGGTGGGAGTAGATGTCTCACCTGAATTCTGCTTAAGAATCCAGGTTGGAGGGCTGCCAAGGAAGGGTTTGTCTTAGACCCAAAAGTAAGATGGCCAGATGGGAAGAGGGTTTCTGACATCTCCAATCTCCTTTGCCCTTGATGCTGCTCAGATCCAAGCCCTGACTGTGAGCTTGGGCCTCTCCCTCACAGAAGACTCAGACTCTAAGGGAGGGAGGAAGTAGCCAAATCCTGCCTAAGTGGGACCCTCTAACAAGTGTCTTTAGCCCCCACTTGCACTATGCTAGTGAGAGGGCATAGATTTCAACTCCAACCACTCTGCTGGCCAGATATGTCTCCTCTTTAGGGATCAACAATTTGCCCCTCATTGAGTTACCTTCTGGGGCCACATCATGCATGTCTGCCCCCTCTTTTGCTTCTGTTAATTCAGAAGACTTTTACTTTGGAAAACAGAGTCTGGATTTATCCTGACTGTTTTCTCCTCTAGGCCAAATGGTTCTTCTCCAGTCACTGGCACAGCAGCAGGGCTCTGGGTCCCTGTTCTGCCTACCCAGACTCCCCCACCGCAGGCTCTCTTTAGCAAGGTCATTCTTCCGAAGGCATCCCCTGAAGGGAGTTGGCATGTCTCCTGCCCAAATGGCCTGATGCACAAGCAGGGTCCCAATCAGCTGTTGGTCAGTGACAACACACCGCTAATACTCACTGGACTGGGGTAGTTCAGAGCCCATGGTGATGCTGTTATTGATTTAGAAATGCACCAAAGTTCCTGTGATGTTGGTTAAAATGCAAATCTCCAGGCCCTGCCCTATTCCAATTCTGATTCAGTCTAGGAATCTGCACTTTTACCAAGGCCTCCTATCCCCTACCAGCTGCTTCTACTGCTACCAGTAGTCTGAAGATCACCCTTTGAGGAACACTGCCCTAGGTCTTTGCCACAGGTACTGCCAATAACTGGTTTTTCCTCATGTACCCTTGGGTTGCTGGTTTTCTGCAATTAAATGCAGAGACTTAACTTCATCCCAATTATATTTCATCATATTACATCTAATCCCTCTTTCCCATATGGAGCCCTCTCAGGATGTGAGTGCAGTCAGGCAGAGTACTTGCTATTTTCTTCAGTTTCCTGACATTCCCAGACGAGACTGGGACATCATATATACTTTCCACCAGGTCCTTACTAAACAGGTTGCTGAGGGCAGGACTAAGGACAGAGCTTAGAGGCTTGATATTCAAGACTACCCTGAATGTTGCACTTGGACAATAAATCAGCTTCTCTTTCATCCACTCTAGAAGCCTCTGACCACACCATCAGTCAGCTCACATCTCACTGCTGTACCCACAAAAACAAACAGGAAGACTTCAGAGCCCCAGACTCATGAGCCTCCAGCTTTGCTGATCTACCAGGCCAATAACCCAATCAAACAGGAAATTAGCTCTTGGAGACCCCACATTGGTTCTGTATGGTCCCTTCCCCAGTCCAAGTATTCACATTGGCCCACTGCTCAGCATCCAACTTCTGTCTTCTGGAATCACTTTCCTATCTTTCCTTTGAGGGATCATGCCCCCCACCCACCCCCCTCCCATCAGTGCACAAGATTCATGTCGAGCTATTCCTACCCAGTTCCAAAAGATGGCATGTGTTTCAGGCCTGGCTGATCAGAATCCATTATTCCCTGGGTCACAGTGATTGGTTCATGGATGGTCATATGAGCCAAGCCAGACCACTAAGGCTCGTTTCTGGGACTTTTGTTGAAACAAAGACAGGGAATTTCTTTTCTTGCTGGACTTGAGGCAGGAAAGGGATGATCTGCTCTTGCAGCTGCTACCACATGAGGAGTACATGCCTGATACTGGAGCCTGGGCAGAGAAGAGTAAAGCCTGGAAAAGAGGGAGGCGCAAAATCCTGATTCATCATTCCAGCCCCCTAGATCCAGGTGCTCCTGAAGCTGCTAGATACACCATTTGGGTTTCTGTCATTTGCATTTGAAAAAAATGATACAGAATTATCCTTTATAAAAATCTGTTCCAGAGCCTTGCCCAGGGTAGGGCAAGCATTTATTACTGCCTATTGTTTGTCTCAGTGCTACCCATTGGGGGAATCTGCTGCCTGTGGGAGAAGACACAGATGTCCTCCTAGTTGTAAGTCAGGGTGGAATGAGAGCCTAAAAGAAATGGTCGTAAGAGAAATGAAGAATACGTGGGAGTAAAGTGAGAACTAGACACAAGGGGAGAGAGAACTAGAAACAAGCCCCTTTAAAGGACTCCCAACAACATCTGGATCAGTCCCATCTGCCACTCTGCACACAGAACCTCAACACTCACCCATGCCCTGAATCCAACACACACACACACACACACACACACACACACACACACACACACACACACACACACACCACACACACACAGCATGCCAGCACCCAATGTCTACACCTAACACAAATATATTTCCCACATCCAGCTCACACACATGCAGGCTGGGCAACTGAACACAATCAATACAGATTCACTTGTTCCCAGTATATAGTTACATACAAACACTTCCATGTCTCCCCACCCTACTCCCGCATAGATTATTCATGTGCCCACCCTCCATGCTGCCCCATGCTACTGAGAACTTCGTGCCTGGGTCTCTCGGTTGGTCTGGCAGTGCTTCGGTGCAAGGACTGGGATGTCCTCGCTTTGGAGCCTCCAGGACCAAGGACAGCACCCAGCATTTCTTGAGAACTCAGCACATGCCCAGGGCAGGATTAAGCTCCTTACCTGGTTTATCTCTTGCAATTCTCACAACCTCTTATGAGGTAGATGCTGTTATTGTCCCCATTGTATAGGTAGAAAAACTGAGGCACGGAGGGGGGATGTAACTTGCTTAAAGTCATTCAGCTGGTAAGGGATGGGACAAGGATTTAAGCCTAGAAGCTGCTCCAGAAATGTTTGCTGATTGAAAGAATGTTCAGTCTAACAAATGGTTTTATTGGAGACACATGCTCCAATGATGCATGTGCTACTGCACACTCTCTGTCACACACAGAGAAATACACACTCAGAGACAAACTTTCCCAGCTCCATGAGCTCCATGGTATCTCAGGTTTCCCTGGCTACGCAGGCCCCATTTCCAGTTTCCCCACTGGGCACTCTCAGGCTGATTTGGAGGTAAGCGGTTCCCTGCTGAGGGGCCAATGCAAAAAGGAGGGGGCAGGGAATTGTCAGGAAGGGGCAGGAGGAGCGGAGGAGGAGGAGGAAATTGGGAATGGAAACCTGGCTCCATGCCCTCTGTGGATGACCCGATGAGCATTTCGCAGAGTTAATTTCATTAGCGTTTCTGGGAGATGAACAATTAGCGAGATGCTCTGATGCCTTTAAAGCTTAAGAGAAGAAGGATGCCTTCCTTGATTCTCTACCAGACCACGATGTCCCTCCATCCCTAGTCTCCATCTCCATCTCTCTTCAACCCTCATCCCATCTTTCCTCTCATGCCCTCATGTCCTCACGGAGCCACTCCCACCCCACCCCACCCCACCCCGCTCCTCAGCCTCC